TCTGAACTTTATAAATAGCATTAAGATTACATTAGTTTCGATATCTGATGGAATTTAAGTGTTATTAATATGGATAAAGATCAGTTAGTACTTATCAGAATCTTTAACTGGAATAGTTCTGATTTTATTTCAACCGAAAACAATAGATTGCACAATATACTATTTTAACAAATATATTACAAGTGCAGATGTATATCTTCAATCAAATGATAGTAACAAAGAACTTTTTCGCACCAAGCACACATTAAAAGTGTTCGTTCGTTGCAGTTCTTAGTTGAACAGTATAGATCGTAAAATTTGAAACAAACATCTTTTGGTTTGTGAATCTGTCCAATTGTTTCATTTATTAATCCAGCTTGTTTAAATCCATTCTTAATGAGATTCTTAAATTGTGGAGCTGATAGTTGGTTGTGAATAACAGAATGCATGTTGATGAAATACTGACGATCACTTATAGTAATTTCTGTTCGATTGATATGAGTATAGTGCTCGATTTTTTCATGAATAAATCGCCATGAACGAAACAAAGAAAGATCTTGTGGTTGAATATAACCGGTTGATCCTTCAGGAAAAATCAGTAACTGACTATCTTGATTAGGAAATACTGCTCTAAATTTTGTTAGATCAGCCTGAGTTTTCCAACAATCAAGGAAGAGAAGAAATTTTTTACCAATCAAAGGACGAAGAACTTCATTTAAAAAAGTGTGATGTTTTTCACCACTACTCTTTCCGGATTTTGATGCTCTTACAACAACATTTGGTGGTACGAATAAATTTTTTTGCACCCTCTGACCAAATTGGTTTTCCTTTTCTTGAAGGATGAGTAAGAACTTGTCCAATAAATGTCCATTAGCTGATGTAACTGGTTGAACTGTATAAGAATGCGTTATATTATATTTTTTTGTAACGGCCACTTCTGTTGTTCTTTCACCAGTAAAAGAAAGTGTTCTTGGAGGTATATATTCTTGTTGAAATGAACAATGATCGCTATTTAAGATTTCATTGGCAGAGTATTTTGCTATTAAAGATCTTTTACTTTCTATCCAATTGTGAGCATCTAAAAGATATATGTGTATGACATTAAGACATATGTATTTAGAGACTAAATAAAAGTTTACATACCATTTAAACTACAAACTTTTCTGTTTGGTTTAGTTCGAGTAATAATTTTGTTATATCTTCTTGATGATATTCTATTTTCCCTTTTAAAACTATTGATAAACGTTTTGCCAGCCTTGAATGTATCCCAATTCAGTTCTCTTGCTTTTTGAATGGCATAAAGTTCAAGATCAGCATCATGAATGGCTTCTTTTTCAATTGTTCTCTTCCGATAAAATTCATTAAACATAAACTCTTTAATTTGTTTTAATTTTTGTAATCTTGTACCATCTTTTTCGATATATTGTCTAAATCTTGTAATATAATTCCTATGTTTGATCTTTTTAAATCGATTAGAAATAGTAGCAAATCTAGCATTTGGATGTTGGTCAACCCATTCGATTATATTTTCCATTTCTTCTAGTGTAAAACGACTTTTTAAATCAAACTGTTCGTTCTCATCATAATCATCCATTTCATTGTCGCTCTCTTCTTCATCCATTATTTCATCATCGCTTTCTTCTTCATCAGTCATTTCATCATATTCATCTTCATATTCGAGGGTATCGTAAGTATACAGTTCACTAAAGTAGCTATCTTTAAATGACTTCAGAACTTCGAATAATCTTTGTGCAGTAAAAATTTCATCGTTAGTTGTTGGAGAATTTTCAGATCCATATTCAGTTTGAGCCAAGTGGAAAAGATGTTTAGCAATATTCAATAAATTCATGTTGTAATTTGATGAAATAAGCGTTTTTACTCGATAGATATAGCAGAGAAGGAAAGAGAATATTTCTTTGATAGTATATTTAACGGTGATTGCTTAATACCAATCGCAAAGAAATGGTCAAT